AATGACGTCACAACTGTCAGAGGAAGCGCGGGAAGAGGCGAACGTACGTCTTATGAGGATGAGCAATCCTATTGGTTTACCGTTCTTGCTGAATGAGCAGTGAGCAGTCCTATTAGGTTAACTGTTCTTGCAAAAATGGTTTCTTATGATTAGTCGATTAAATTAACCGTTTAAAAGATATTCATCGTCAAACTTGAATGCACAATAATATTAACAGTTTTTGATTAATCAAATTGGAACAATTCCAATTTAATGAGTTTCAGAAAAATGTTTACAAATTTATGTTTTTTTTTAAATGGGACACCCTACCTAATCATGTGAAATATATGCATAGATGTATTTCAGATCACATACCCAATCATGTGAAATATATTAATGTATTTCAGGCACGTTACAATATGAAAGGTGAAACAACACTTGAACAATTTGAAACATGTATACTTTTAAATATTTTCACATTTAAAATTCGATTGAATTGATACAATATTAATTTTAATTAAAAAAACAAATAGGTAGAATAATAAAGGAGATATAATTGTTCTGTTATAGTTACTATTAACTGATGATATAGTACAAAAATACTGTAGTTATAATTCACAAAAACGGCATCACAGTTAGCTTGGAAATGGAGATCGCTCTTATATGTAAAATTATACGGTGAATGACAGCGATCGTCATTTCTAAGCTAACTAGACACAGTTTTTTTCTTGATCATGCGGTATATGTTTATGAACTTTGGACGGATGTTTGTTCAAACTTAGCTTTTATTTCGCTGTACAGGGTGTTAAATTAAATAAGTACAACTATTTAATAACCAAGCTGTTTTGAACATGTTTGAAAAATAGAAAATAAACTTTCGTTATAGAGATCTACAATTCTTGAAAATATGTGTACTTATTGGTGAATCACCCTGTATATGTTATGACAAAAATGCAAATCTAAGGGCTCAAACGCACTGACGATCAGGTCGCTGCTACCTGTAATACCATTATGTATGATTTGACGCGCACTAGTCGCTGCGACCAGTACACTGCATTAAAATATTATTATTTTCTGCAGCTTGTTGCCGCTTTTCTTCCAAATTAATAATTTTTCAGATGAAATCCCTCAAATTCAACGCAAAATTCTCTATAAGATATAGTGTTTTAGTGTGGTTTTTGCACACGGACAGAAAAACCAAAGAAATAGTATACAGACTGGATCAAATGGAAACTTAAATCTAGTCCCTTTTTTATCAAGGGTTAGGTTAGGTATTTTTATATCACATACTCTATTTATGGTTGGTATGACACCTGTTATTAAACCTTCGAGTTTTGATGGTAAAAAAATAAAAAAAGCATATTTAAAGTTTCTTTTTGATCTGCTCTGTATAATCTTTTTTGCCTTCCTCTACAATGTGTGAAAACTATACTAATTACCCTACTGCAATTACCATTAATATTTTAAATGCATTATTTAATATTAGAATATTTAATAAGCTCATGGATAGGAACTTCGCTTTTTAGTTAACTCGGATAACATTTCTGAAAACAGTATTTTCTAATTGGTAAAACGTAAAAAATCTTTAGATCTGACAGCCCTGCTGACACTGGTCGTTCGTTTGGACGCCACCTACATATGTACGCAATATATCCGTGGTCGTCACTGCGTTTGAGCTGTTAATATTCACTACTTATACCACAGAAGCTCCTTTATTATTCTATGATATTCCTTTAGTATTTGACTCTAAACAAAAACGAAAATCTATATCGCATTTATCTTTGGCTAAATAACACTTTTTTTTCTAGGGTATGGTAAAAAATATATATATTTCTCCTCTTTTCATTTATTAAAATATCTTCTAGACATATAGAGCGTATTATTTTTTTTATTCCCTTTCTACCAAGTATTTCTTGTTTTGTTTTTTTTTGTCACTAGCCTATAATACACGCGAATAGGAAAAAAGTATTTCCTTTGATATTTATTCTCATTTTTATACAGGGCGTATCATTTTTACGATTAGGTTAATACCAGGTGTCTTATAGTTCCTGTTTCGATGATATTACGTTAGTAGTAAAAGGATCAATGATTGAAGTAGTTGGCAATAACTAGCGTCTACGTTCCACTAGTCTCCTTGGACACCCAGTACACGTTTGCGAATTAAAAATGAAACCCCCTGTACTACATATACCTAAATCACTATCGATATTTTTCCATATAAAAAAATTATTTATCGCTTTTTTCCTAGACAAAAAATTTTGAATTTCTCTCTTAAATCCTAAATTGCGAACAATATGTCAGTTCCTTGTCTACATACTCGATTTAAAAATAGCTATTGCCGATATTTTCAGTTTTAGATAACATACCGTTAGAATTATTTTATTTCTTTGTTATTGGACTGTCTAATTCAGAGTACCTACTAAAATTATTTAATAAAAATTATGAATTCCATATTATCGCAAAAAAAAACGGCGTCATACTAGGCTTCAAATTATGGCCGATTTCGAGGCCCACTATGACGCCGTTTTATTTTCAATGAACTCAACTAAATAATGTAATATCTAACGGTATGTTGCTACCAATATTTTTTAATATCTCACTATCTATTAAACATTGGTACGCGGTAAAGTGGTCAAGATATTATTCAAAACATTCGAATAACCTTTTCATACCTTAATTACCAACTTACAAACAATACAAAATATATATAACTATATAACTATGTCTATTTACAACTAAAATTCCATTAAACAAAAAAAAAAAAGAATTGCGTCAAAATATTAAAATCCGACTATTTTTAAAAGTTGGCTCTATTGGTAAAATTGGTACATGTCCTATTAATTAATTAATTACTAAATAGTACTAATAAATATAATATTTAAGGAGTGATCAAAATATCACACATAATAATGCCTGTATTTAGTGGATTTTTATTGTGATTATTTTTTATTTAAAAAACCTTATATCATTTTAATCATCCATTATCAGGTAATATCTGACAAACGGATCTGAAACAGCGATGTTGTCATGTTTAACTATACAAAGTAGGGATACATAATTACATATTTGCTAGGCATTTTAACGTAGCTCTTATTGTTATATGTATATTTATTTAATTGATTTCCTTCATTCTCCATTTTATAAAAGGTAAATATTTCCTAAAGATATCATTCCCTTTGGGCAAGCTGGCAACGCTGAGAAAATTCATCACGGCATCCCGGCTTCAACCAACCTGATTGATTACTTTATGAATGAATCTGCCATGTTTTTAAAAAACTGCATTTATAGCTTTACTACAGGCCTTACCGTTGTCCTGTTAGTTCACATCCAGTTGTCAGACTATAATGAGGTTTATTACCAAAAAAAATGGCGTCAGAGTAGGCTTGAAAACGCAGATCGCCATTTCCAAACCGATTTTTTCTAAACATAAAATTATAGTATAAATATAAAAATATAATTATTTATAGACATTAAAAAGTTAAAAAAAAAAAACAATGTAAAATATATATATCAACAACAGACGAAAATGACATCAATATACTTTTAAAAATATATATACGTATTAAAATCATGAAGAATCTGAGTATAATGGGGATCAAACATGGACTTTATATTGGAGTGGACTCGTTTTTAATAATCGTATTTCTTTATTAAAATTTAATTCTCAATTTTGTTATTTTTGTCAATTGTCTTCAAATTGACAAACACCTTCATACTTATGTTTAAAACATAACAACCCTGTAGAATACAGGGTGTTCCTTAATGACATGCTAATATTTAAGGGGGTTATTCTTGAGTCTATTTCACCAAGAAAATAACTGCATATGAATGGGTCAAAATTGAAAAAAAAATCATAATATCTCTCTAATGTTGTTATAGATATCTGTGTGAAATTTGATACAACATCTCCTATGCATAAAAATTAACTTTTTAAGAGAAATAAAAATTGTTTAGAAATGAATGAAGATTTTGAAAATAATGTTTATTTTAAGAGAAGGCTTTTTTCATCAAAAATATTCAATATAAAACCCGTATGGGCGCCACTGGTTGAAATATTTAAGGTATTTGGAATGCATAGAAGACGCGTATTAGGTTCCATAAAGAAAGTTATTATGAAAAAAAATCCTATTTAGAAAAGATTACCTCCCTCTATTTCAAAAGTTGTTTAGGATATATACCGGGTGAGTCTCAAAAGTGGCTTACCCCCTATAACCATTTTATTATTTCAGATGAAACGAGATTTGGTATGTTAGTATATGACATAAATTAGGATTGATTGACGTATTCAATTGTTTTCTGTGTCTTCCTGTTTCACCGGAAATGACTACAACTTTTGATTTTTAAATGGCACTCTCGGTATTTTTTTATTTTATTCGATAGAAAATGAACAGAATGACATAATATCATATGTCAACTTTTGACATTTTCGTATATGGTTTATTTGAAATTGTAACATGAGGTTCATAATGACAATTTGACTCGAAATACCAAGTGTGGGGTACCAAATTATTCGCAAAAAATGCTTTTTCCAAATATGCTGATCAGCCACCTTCATTCCATTTGAAGAAATTGAGATATCATTAAAAATACGATTTGAGCTTCTTTTAACCGGCCGGGATAAGACACTAAAAACATTAGATGATCAAATCTATTTTTCCAAGGCTCCTTGATCAAAAATTTGTGTTTTTAACACAGCCATGGCACTCTAGATTAAAATTTAAAATACAATTTATTTCTGAGCAAATATGTCAAAAGTTGAGTATGACATGTCATTGGATTCAGAGTGTCTTTCTCTCTTGAATAAAGTAAAAAAATACCCAGGGTGCCATTTAAAAATCAAATGTTGTAGTCATTTCCGGTGAAACAGGAAGTGACAGAAAACAATTGAATACGTCAATCAATCCTAGTTTATGTCATATACTAACATACCAAATCTCTTTTTTTTATCTGAAAAAATAAAAAAGTTATAGGGGGTGAGGTACTTTTGAGACTCACCCGGTATATTCATTATATTTTTTTTCTTAGTAGGTAAGCATGTTATTAGGAATCACTCTGTAGATAAAATTGCACATAGTATCGATGAAAGACAAAACTCACAAAAACGTTGTACCAGTTTTACCAAAAGATCAACCTATATATCGTTAAAAACAAAAACACGTCAATATATTTGTCTAATCCAATTAATAAAAAAAAACGAATATTTAATTTTTTTTTGGCAATTGAGGGATAAAAATTTTCGCTAATTCCACCTCAACCGTACGTTCTAAAAAAACTACTGTCGCGATCGAAAAAAATTTCTGTTTTTTACTTAGTTTTTGTTTGGTCTATCTAAAGTATACTGCAGCGTAATTTGAACGGTAACCCCCTGCCCGGGCCCGGGTACTTGTGTGACTTTTTGCCCCTACTGGACTTGTCCTTTCTGATTTCGCGCACTAGCGAGTAGAACGCGTCGTCCACGCCCATGCGCGTCTTCGCCGACGTCTCTATGAAGGGGATACCGTACTGTTTGGCGATCTGAAAGAAAAAAGTTCTTTAGTTTGGTATAAAATCAGTGGCAGCTCGTCAGGGTAGGCCTCTGAGGCCGCGCCTCTCCGTTAAAATGAAGGAACGATTTATTTTTTTGTATCTACTTTTTTATTTAATCTATACTAATATATAAAATCTTTAAGTGACTGACTCACTGATTAATCACGATCCTGCTCAAACCACTCAACGTAAGAGGCTCAATTTTGGTATACAGGTTGACTCTAGGGTGTAGAGGTTCGATAAGAAGGGATGTTTCGAAATTCCAGTTCCAAGGGGGTGAAACCACCCCTCAAATATTACAATATTTTTTATTTAAAAAACGGTCAAGTTCCCGAAAAAACGCTTAAACACGTATATTTTATTGTTTTTTTACATATTTTAAGATTTTTTAAAAATGTATACAAGGTGTTTCAAAAATCTGATCATTGATTAATCACGATCCTGCTTAAAGAGCTTGACGTAAAAAGCTGATTTTGGAAAACGGGTTGACTTTAGGGTGTAGAGGTTCGATAAGAAGGGATTTTTTGAAACTTGAATTCTAAGGGGGTGAAACCACCCCTCAAATATTAGAATATTTTTTATTTAAAAACCGGTGAGTTTTTCGGAAAAACTCTTAAACACGTATATTTTATTTTGTTGTTTTACATATTTTATGATTTTTTAAGGGTGTTTCATAAAATATGACCATTGAGTACTCACAACTCTGCTTAAATTTCTTGACTTTTAAAGCTGATTTTTGGTAAACGGATTGACTGTGGGGTGTAGAGGTGCGATAAGGAGGCGTTTCTCGAATTTCAAATTCCAAGAGGGTGAAAACGCCCCTCAAATATTACAATATTTGTTATTTAAAAAACGGTTAGTCGCTTGGACACGCATAATTTATTTTGTTTTTTTACATAATTTGAAATTTTTTAAAAAATCATACAGGGTGTTTCAAAAAGTTGGGTAATTGATTAACCACGATTCTGCTTAAACTTCAGCTTATTTTTGGCAAACGGACTTTTCGAAAGTCAAATTCCAACAAGATGAAACTACCCCTCAAATATCACCTCTTCTTTTTTAACTGCTGTTTCTCTATATAGGGTGTTCCTTAACGGCACGCTAATATTTGAGACGGCGATTCTTGGAATTATTCTAACAAAAAAACTTCATACGAATGTATGTCCAAAACATCTTAACTATTGAGAAACAGGGTCGTAAAATTTTCTAAAATATTTTTTTTTAAATAAATCTTGCTGTTATAGATATTTTAATGAAATTTGATACAGGTCTTCTATGTTTCCAAATGCATTTTTTGATATACAAAAAAATATTTTGTTCTATCTCTTTATTTCCATCAGAGAATAAGTATAATTTATAAACCATATGTCGGACGAAAAAAACGAGGTTGAAAATAAATAAGATATTGAAGATTTTGAAAATAATATTTATTTTAAAACAAGTCAGTGACGTACTATTTTTTCTCCTAAAATATTCATTATAAAACCCGTATCGACGGCACTGGTTGAGATTAAAAAGTTAAGTAAAGTTTTTTTTAAAGTTTACCACCCTGTATCTCAAAAGTTTAGATATTTAGGACATATGAATATTTAAGATTTATAAGTTTTTCTCATAAAATAGGTCCAAGGATCACCCCCGTAAATATTAGCATGTCATTAAGGAACACTCTGTATAATATAAGAACTATTTTATGTTCAGGGAATAAGTGTAAATACACGACACTGGTCTATGTACAATAAATGATAATAATTTTTCTTCAATGTATGGAATATAGATTTAAAAGCCATAGTACTAACAAATGTTATAACATATTAAAGACAACAATATCTGTATTTGTTACCTCTTCTCAAAATATGTATTCTAATCATAAGAGTGTATAAAATGAGTACCCCTCGCTCCAATAACATATAAATATAACGGTTTCCTTACTTACAAAATCACATGTAACCAAATTCCATCTTTATAATACTGATTTTTAAATGGCTAGAATATGTATGTACTTTTTGTTCTCCTATGTATGACTCTTATTATCTAAGAAATAATAAAAAAACCTACGTCTCTAGCCCGATTCATATCAACCACCCATGCCGGCAAGTCACATTTATTTCCTACAAGCACCATCGGAACCTCCTCGGTATCTTTCACTCGTAAAATCTGCTCTCTGTATACCACAATGTCATCAAAACTTTTTACAGAGTTCACAGCAAAAACAAGTAGAAAACCCTCTCCTGTTCTCATGTACTGATCACGCATTGCACTGTATTCCTCTTGTCCTGTAACAGTTCACATCAAAGCTAGATGTTCTACATTGAAAGAAAAATATCAATCTTACCTGCAGTATCTAATATATCTAAGAGACAGGTTTCACCATCTATAACAACTTGTTTTCTATATGAGTCTTCAATTGTTGGGTCATATTCGTCCACAAAATGGTTTTGAATTAACTGAATAGTTAATGCAGACTTTCCTACACCACCAGCACCCACAACAACCAATTTGTATTCAGTCATTGTTGATTATAAAGCAAGAACAGTTTCAAAGTGGTATTATGATGCTAAAATTGTTCTGTAAGGCCGTAGACCCTGTTATAACTCAACTTCAAAATAAAAAAAGGACTAAGCCAAAATAAAACAACACAAATCTACCTCACTAATTTACCCAAAACGTAACATAGAACACAAAAGTAATGCGGGGTTAGTAACCTATCAGTACTCTATTTTGGTATGAAGATATCAAAGCATTTTGAGGATTGGTTCCGTTGGAATGCAGCAGCTCTATTAAGGTTACTCATAAATGTGTTAAATAGTTGCTTAATTGGTTTTAATTAATTTTTAAATCGTGAACTAAAACAACACAAAGTAGACGTTTGGATAATGTCATTTCACTTCACTCATTTCTCGGTTTTTTTGGTTACTCACCGAGAGGTGTGTTCAATATCCCTGAAGTTAGACATAAATAGAAATAGAAAAATATATGATATTACAAAAAATATATTAATTTTAAAGCCCCGATATAATCTTAAAGCATAGGTATAATGTTCCTTTAGGCTTGATATCATTTAAAATTATATTTTATCAATCAGTTTGGACTTGCCCTGATATTCTTCTCTTAAATTGTTCCGAAATCATATACAATCAAATAAATAATTTAGTACATCTAGACTGTTCTAATAAATTTTATGGACACATTCTCTTACTAAGAACCGTAGAAAAGCTAAATTTAGAGAAAATGTATCGATTATAGGCTTTGAAATCGATTTCTCATTTTAAAAAACAAAATATTGAACATACTTTATTTTTTGAACGCGCTCAATATGACTGACGTTTCCTGTCAATAATGTCAAAATAATTTATCGTTAATCGGCCATGTTGTTTATAAGGCATTTAAATATTTAAAGCTCTGCCTTGCAGTGGGGGTATTGTTAATGAGCTATCCTAATAGTTTTCATGGAGAATTTATCACTCAACTCATTTACGAAAAGGCCTTATTGGAGTACGCAACTTGAAATTCTGTGATCCAGACTGTGTGTTTTTATCTGAAACTAGTGTGCAGTGAAAACAAAAAATCATGTTTTGATAAGCTAGCTTCAAGCCCTGTGTATCTAGATTATTTGTAGTTGTTTGGACGGCATGTACTTTGATTGACGTTTATTTATTATAATTTATTAACATGATTTCTACATAAAGTGCAATCTACATCTTTATACTAAGCTTTACAATATTCGACATTGAGAAGAATAGGATTTATTAACAAGAATCATGTCTTTGGAAGTTAGTGACAAAATTTTACGCCAAACAAAACTGCGTGCAGCGCGGAACCTTTTCGATACAGTTCGTGAGCCCCCTTCGGGCAACTATGATCGGTTTATACCATGTAGGACTAACAACAACTGGGAGACTTGTTTTGCCACTATGCCCGATCCGAATAAGACCGCTCAAAGTGGTAAAAAGACTAACAGAGAGAACGGTGAGAACTCTAGAGACTCTTCGGTGTACAATATATTGTTACGAAACGAGATTCTTGGTGAGAAGATAGAAGACGTTAAAAGCCAGTGTGATGATAGGCAAGCTCTTACGCCTATAAAGAGTAGAAACTTATTTCAATATGGGACACCGACAAAGGTAAGCCTTATTTTTTCTTTTCTTTGACTTTTGTTATTGTTGTTTCGGAACAAGTTACAACTTTTCTTATGTTATTTAATAATTTCTATGTAATACAAGCATATTAATGTAGTACAAGCTTACTTTTATCAGTACTAAATATAATTTAATATTGTGAAAACTGAGTTTACATTACAGTAAAATTTGTCTTATCTGTTGACAAGAAATAAAGTGTCATGTAGGTACCTATTTTTATATTATTTTATATATTTCTTGATTACTTATTACTAAAATTATAGGGCTACATGCAGATGCTCTAAACATTTTATTTATGTGTAATTTTTCTTAAAACTAAAAAATATAAAATAATAATAAATATATAAAAAAAAAATTCTAAATTTTTGCAATTTAGAGGATATTTTCTGTGATATTATATTGTTAACAGAGAAGGGCAAACAAAATGTATTTATAAATAGATTTTTATCATTTTTTATCTCAAGTTATCCTATCGTTAATCTTTACTTTCCAGTTTCGAGGTAAATTGTTTTTTAAGGTAAATGTTTGGGAAAACTCCATATTTGTTTTTTTATTTGAGATTTACACTCCTATCTTTTTTACAAAAAAATGTGAATGATGGTACTCACATTTTACAAATATATTTATAAATATACAGGGTGATTTATTACATAAAAGTTGTTTTTTAGTTTCCGTTCAAAAATAAGTTATATTTAATTTATCAAGTGTTTTATTTTTATTATGACTAAAGTTTATTGATTAAGACAGTGTCACCAAATTTAACTTAAATAGGTAGCATATTTTTTTTATTTTTTTTATATTGGAAATATGTATTTGCTTTCTAAAATTCATTAGAGTAAAATACAGTGTATTAAATTTGTAGAAAATTTAATTAAAAATGGTATTAATAATTCAAAAACCACTGGTATGAACTAGGTATGACATTATGGTATCTTTGAAATGAAAATTTTATGGTAAATCCTCTCAGAAAAAAAAACAGCATCACATTTAAAGAAAAAAATATTTGATTTGTCCTGTAGGTATATTTATGAAAATATTTTTAAAATATGCCTTACTTACTATCGCCTGCATACCTAGTATGTTTGTAAGTGAAATTCTCCATTAGGAGACTGATGTTAGTTTTTTTGGGTCACCCTGTAGTATGATATACCAAATTTAATGTCTACACGCTGTATCTACTTGGTATAGTATTAGTCTCTGTATTAGTATTAGCTTTTCATCTACAGTATGTCTCCAGATTGTCTTTACAAGAGGAAAAACTTTTTTATTATTGGCATTTTGAGAAAAATTAATTGCTTATAAAAAAATTTGCTTGTTTTGAAATGGTTAATCCCGTTTATACTTTTCTAATTTTATATACCATTTTCGAGAAAATAAAAAAAAATGAAAATAAGATTGAGATTTTTCCAAAGGCCTCCAAAAATCAAAAGGCGTTTAGAGTTTAGAGGAAAAAATTCAACTATATTTTTATGTTTTTTTTTTAATTTTTTTAACAAGCAAAATTTATTTATGGAGAATGCATTTTTCTCAAAATGTCAATAATAAAAAAAAATCCTCTTGTAAAGACAATCCGGGCACATACTGTATATAAGTAATGTATATTTTTTAAATTATTTATCTAGCTTGTAAAATATGCCTTTTTAACGAGCTTTTTAAATGTTTTTTTTCCCTTAATATGTCAAAATTAAATGAAATTATAGAGTACATAAGTACCTGCAATGGTATCTAAATTTATTTTCGTTTTGATACCTAGGTACTAGGGTACTAGGTACATAAATTGCAATGAAAGAAGTCATAACACAAATATTAACTCCATGTAGCTAAATTTGTAAAAGTATTATAAGTACATAGACAAGGACTTATTTATTTAGGCACTACAAATAAAGGAATCCATACCTAGACAGTAGATGCTTTTGACTCAAGAATGTTTTTAGGAAATTAAAAATTAGAATACCTACTAAAAAGTGTACTAAAAAAATCCAGAAAAAACATTCCTTTCTGATAACTTCAATTTTATTTTAACTTTTTTAGTTTCTTTTTTTTTTCTATAAACTGTATTCCAATATTAGGAACGTTTAAAATTAGAATTAGCCGAATCGGTCCAGATGTGTTTTGAAGAGATGCGTTTACCAACGGATAGTATTTTATTTTTTTTATACTTATACCTAGATTTGAATTCCAAATGAGTGTTCTATATTGCGGTTTTCTACATCTACGATAGAAAAAAAAAGACGTCAGAGTTGAATTATATGAGAATGTCATCGATCATAATTTTCAAGTTCCAAGCTAACCTGACGCCGTTTTTTTATAATAAGGTATAATGTAATTAACCAAGCTTAAGATAATGTAATAACTAAGATATGAGTAAATTATTTCGATAGTTTCAGAGATGTTATTAAATAAATCAAAAAAATATGTATTTTCCAGCTTTTTTTAAAAATCATTAAAAATTCAAGAACCCTCCTGAAATCAAAACTATATTAGGTATTGACTTTATAGATGGTCTCTACTTATCTTTGCTATAAATATGGTAATCGTAAATCATACAGGATGTTCAAAATTCTACGCCAAAATTTCTAAAATCTAAAATAATTTTTTTTAATGGGACACCCTGTATATTATTTTTTTATTAGATGGAGAGTTAAAAAATGAACATTTTTTAATTCTCCATTTAACGGTAAAATACGGGAGAAAAACCATTGGGTGGCATTGATAAAACTTTACTGTGGAAAATGTCATATTAAATAAAAAACCGCGAATATCTGCGAAACCGTTAAAAATTTTGAAATTTTCTAAATACAAAAAATGTTCATTTTTTAATACTCCATCTATTGAAAAAATAATATACAGGGTGTTCCATTTAAAAAAAAAGCGGAGAAAATTTATTTTATATTTTAAAAAGTTTGGCGTAGAATTTGGAACATCCTGTATGATCTACGGTTATCATATTTATAGCAAAATATGTATAGACCATCTAAAGTAAATACATGATATAGTTTTGATTTCAGGACAGTTCTTGTATTTTTAATAATTTTTTTTAAGAAAGTCTGAAAATTTATATTTTTTATTTATTTATTAATATCTCTGAAAGTATCGAAATAAATTTAATAATATCTAAAGGGTTATCTAAGGGTTAAAGGAAGCCAAAAATGCAATAATATACAGGGTGTTCCATTTAAAATAAAAATCATTCTGATCCAAACACACTTTTTTGAGCCACCCTATAGAAGTTTAAATATTTTCCTGAAATACATCTTCGTACATACTTTAGGTTTGCACTTAAACAAAATTCTCAAGCTTTTTATTCTAGGAGCTACAAATGCCCGACGCATGCACTATTGCCGGACCCTGTATAGTGCTTTACTTTAATATACTCAATCTCTAGATACGCAATTTAAATAGTATAAAACAATATCTTTTGGGGCAAATGAACCCGAGATTTATTTCGGATCTAATAGATTTTTTCATGAATGACCACGTTGGTCGAGGTATTTCCTTCACTCCTTCCCCCGCACATTCGTCCGCCTCTGTGCCGTCGTCGAGTAACATCAGCTGTGAGATCAGCTGATCGCGGCCGGCAAAAACGTCTCGAAAGGGGCCACAGCAAGGCTACGCCGGCCGGTCTTTTGCTATAATTAAAATAGCGTAAAAAGCGGCGCGAAGATCTCCATCGAAGGACCGAAGAATCGTGAAGATTTGAAAAAAGGCGTCGAAGAATTGTGTTTTGATTGTCCTTGAGACTGTTTGACGATACGTTTTTTCTGTAATTGGGCTGTTTTGTTCATAGAAATCTAAAAATGCACGTTTATATTATTTGGTTTTTATTTTTTAACTAAAAACAGTGATGAGCAAGATTTGCATGCAAGACCAAGATTCTGTTCGTCTTGGTCTTTGATTTTTAAATGGTAACCTCGATATTTTTACTTTATTTGATAGAAAATGACATTCTAACTAGTAATGCTAGTAATAATCATTTGTCTATTTTTGACATTTTTGATTAAAAAATAGTATTTTAAATTTCAATCTAAAGACTAAAGACTACATACTTTTACTATGTATTCGTATTTATGTCATCTACTAATATAGGTACCACCTGTCGTTTTTTTGTCTGAAAAAATTATTGTAAAAATAAAAAGTTATAGGGGTGAGCCACCTTTGAAATACACCCGGTATATTATTGATTAATATGGCTGTTAAACCTTTACTTTTAATGATATTGAAACTGAAAAGGCAAGAACTACATTAGAATTGCAGTAAAAACTTTATTTTTGAGATATGTATTCTCATATACAGGGTGGTGCCTGTCATACGACGCGGAGGCTCCAAGGAGAACGATAGTTTGTATTAAAATTACATTTTGTGACGAGTAGGTTAATTTAGAGTACTTTTTAAAAAGATAGAGAGTTCTGAAAGGTGTCTCTAAAAAAAGTTACACATTAAAGTTGTGTTTTTTGTAATGGAACACCCTATATACTAATTGATTTTCGCATTCTAGGAGAAAAATAAAGGTGAGTTTTATTAGAAGTATGTGGCTAAAATGTAAGGTTTTTGACTTATTTGACATTTTCTAAAAATGAAGGACAATGTTTAAATTTTAATAAAAGCTACCTAAATAGGAATTTACCCAGTATAGATTAATATGTGGTTAAAATAACTGTTGAACTTAAAATCAAATTAAAACTTGACCCAAAAAATTATACAGGGTGAGACAAAATTAATATTGAACATTGGTCACCTCTGAAAGCAAGTTACACTTTAATTTAAATGGAACACCCAGTATATTATTCCGATATTCAAGGGGGAATTCATGTCTCTTCGAAATACTATTAGGGTTGCCTACCTCTAAAACCAAGATTTTCCTAGATATTTTCATTTTTATGATTCAGTGTCAGTAGATCATTATTACATATTTGATAAAATCTAGGTGACTGGTCATTGAAATTTAAAAATGTATTCTTCATCTGAAAATCAATTAATATATAGGG